GAGCAAAAGACAGTATGTTCTGGGAGACAGAGACCATCTCTAGGGAGAAAGCGCCTCTGGAGGAAGACAGAGATGGGCCAGCAAGGACCTCAGGAGAATGTCAAGCTATCATCTAAAAGGGAGCAGGTCTAACTAGCCCCAAATCAAGTACATTTCCATTCACCTCTGCAAGGATTAAAGAATGAGTTGCCTAGCCTTGCCTACAGAGCTAGTTCAAGGCCAGCCTAGACTAGAGGAGACTCCACCTTCAAAACTTACAAACATAAACAACCTACTTGAGATCTACTGAAGGCACAGGCAGGAGATAAACCAAACTTGAACACAATTTGGATGCTATGGCTCGGCAAGCAGACTGATACTATTCATAAATATAAGGAAATTAAAAAGCTTACAAAAGGGCCATACAAAGGAACAGTGAGATACCCTGCTGTCCACAGAATAACAGTGAGATACCCCACTATCCATAAAGGAACAATGAGATACTCCCGCTGCCCACAGAGTAATAATAAGATATCCCATTGTCCACAGAGTAACAGTGACATACCCCACTGTCCACACAGTAACAATGAGATATCCTGCTGTCCACAGAATAACAGTGAGATACCCCACTGTCCATAAAGAAACAGTGAGATACCCTGCTATCCACAGAGTAACTGTGACATACTCCACTATCCACACAGTAAGAGTGAGATATCCTGCTGTCCACAGAGTAACAGTGAGATACACCACTGTCCATAAAGAAACAGTGAGATACCCCGCTGAACAACAGGAGTGGGCAAGCACCAGTCTAGAGCCCAGGAACATAATTAAGGAAACTGGCAGGACCAGGAATACAAGCACACACCAAGCAGTGTGTTTATCAGGATACTAAAGGTAGGCATTTTAAAAATTCATAAACACATAGAAAAATACTAGAAACAGTTTTAACCTGTGTCTTTTAAGAGAAGAAGGAAAGAAAATATTAAATTAAAATGAAGTAGCAACATTATCTTCTCTTGTAAGTCCATATATTTCCCAAGGCCATTTCATAGCACCCCCCCCCCCCCCCCCCCCCCCCCGTGTCTTTCTCTTATAGTTTTTCAAGACATGGTTTCTCTGTATAGCCCTGGCTATCCTGGAACTCGCTCTGTATACCAGGCTGGCCTCAAACTCACCGAGATACTCCTGCCTCTGCCTCTCAAGTACTGGGATTAAAGGCATGCGCCACCACTGCCTGGCTCATTTTACTTTTACTTTGGGCAAGGCTGGGACTTGAACCCAAGACCTGTGCATGCTAGGCAAGCACCCTACCACTGAGCTATATCACCAACCTCATAATTTTAAAAAAATAATAACTTTATTGTTACATTTACGTGCATGTCCAACTTCTGGGAGTCAGTTCTCTCCTTTTTCACCATGTAAGTCCCAAGAATTGAATTCAGCTCATCAAGTTTTGCAGCAGACACCACTACCTTCTAGGCCATCTCACCAGCCATACTTGGTAGTTTTTTATGGAACTATTCAACTGCCATTTTGCTGAATGCCTTCACACCAAACTACCCACCACACAAAATCCTGACCCCACTTACCACCCCCAAAAGATAACATTTCCCTTAACAGATCATCTTTCTCTACTGCCTCTAGTAACAAGTAACTGGTCTTCCCCAGTTTGAAGAAACAGGCCAACACAGACCCATTTTTATAGGCAATGGTTTTTTACAAGTACTTTTAAGCCGTGATGTTCAAGTCACTGATGTAATACTGTAAAGTAGTACAAGCCATTAGTTTTAAAAGAGGTCTGAGTCTTCCATCTCAGGGCCTGGCTGCCTCCCTTGGCTGTGTGATACCATATAACTGAGATAAGGGGTTTTCCCTGTATGAAGCCTCCACAGCGAGGCTGCTGGCTGCTTTTTCTGTGACCTATGCCCATCCGTGGAACAGACCTTGATTATTAGTGGGGCCCCCTTTCTATTTCTAAGCCCCTTCTTCAGCTAGCATGTTCTGGCCAATTAAGGCAAGAACATGAATTTAAACAGGGTCTCTGGGAATCTACTGGGCATGGACTCAGCTGAGGGAAGCAGGTATTTTGTGGCTCTGCTTTCCCTCCTCCTTTAGGCCTGTATCTGAATCAAATAATGGGTACCCTTCATGGCCATCTTGGACCAAAAGGAGACAGTGAGGATGGAAGCCAGGTGCTGGGATGATGGATCTCTGAATACACTGTGCAGCTACCCTGAAATCCTCAGACTTCTTTTCAAGGGTAGATGAGGGTATCACTTAGTTGCTGTCACTCTGTCTGTTTTTAGGTGACAGAGTCCAACTGACACCCAATACCAATTACATGCTAGTGAAGGTTACAGCCAGTAAACAGCAAATGACTGAAGCAGGTGACCACGACAATAAAACATTTCAATCAGCCACTTTTTACTAAGACTTCATAACTGCCTGATGCCTACCACTACTTTCTCTTTTCCACATAGACAGCCACATTCTTTTCTTGACTAGTTCAAGCTCAACTGACATACACATATTCTGCCCTCATATGACAGTGACCAAAAATCCAACCTTCCATAACCCTTAGTAAAAACAAAACAGAAGAGTGTCCCCAGTTTACAAGGCATGAAGAAGTCACAATTCCCAAGATGGGAGCAATGCGCAAAGTGGTCGCACACTTTTTCTGGAATGACCGCAAGGAGGCTCACACTGGCATACACAATCCCAGGCAAACACCTACCCACAAACTCCTGCTCACACGTAAGAGCCACAACCTATACCAACACTGGCACCAACAGGATGGTAGCACATTATGTCTTGACAAAGGCCTTTAAGGAGTCCACTCCTTCCCCGAAAGCTCTCCACTTTCAAAGACAGATGGAACCAGAGCCCTGGCTCCTGGAAAAGAGACATGCAGGCTCCTGCCTTCTTCTACAAGCAGCACAACTTGGCAAGGCAACGTCTCCTTCGCAAGAGCCTTGTTTTCACAACAGTAATCTTGTAGAAGGTCAAACTTTGTATGTGTAGCTTCAGATTATGGTCAAAGTTTAAACTTGATCAAGGAAATTGTAAACTTTTACACTTCCATTATCCTGGCCCAGATTTCTCAATGGGCCAAATTATATAACATTATTTCACCCTGTCTAGCTCTCTCAGAATAATAAGGACATAAGAAAAAGTTAAAGAGGATTCAGCTTCTACCTCACTTTTTTTTTTTTAACCAACGCATCTGCCTCTTATCCCACCACCCAAAGTAGCCTCTGGGCTGACATTTAGACACTGAAAGTTTCAATTCAGTTAATATATTTAAAGAGCAGAGTTTTGGACAAGGAATGAGAAAACCATAAAGTCACAGCAAAGAGAAAAGGGAGGTAAGATGTTTCACTCATGTAACTCAATTCTTTCACACCCACTGTTAAAGTATATACCTAATTGTTCATATTCTCACAAAGAGTAAGTTTTCTATTATTAAAGGGGCAGGGAGTAGACAGAAGGGGTAAATGAAACAAAGGTCATTTTAAAGAATCTGCAAAGTATAATCTCTCTCTCTCTCTCTCTCTCTCTCTCTCTCTCTCTCTCTCTCTCTCTCTCATATATATATATACATATATATATATATATGTCTGGTAGGATATGCCAAATGAAAACTTCGTTCTTAGCTGAGTGGTGGTGGCCCACATCTTTAACCCCAGCACTCGGGAGGCAGAGGCAGGCAGATCTCTTAGTTCGAGGCCAGCGTGGTCTACAGAGCAAGTTCTAGGATAGCCAGAGCTACAGTGAAACCCCTGTCTCAAAGAAAAGAAAGAAAGAAAAAAGAAACATCCCTTCTCACTAAGGAAAAGAATTGCAAATACTCTCTTCTTTCCCATTTTCTATTTTTCTTACAACAAATCTACTTACACAACTGCAAAATGCATCTTGGAAAGCAGACTCACAACAGCATCCACAGAAAAATAAGCCATGCTAGGAACAGCTCAGATAAAAACAAAGTCTGGCTGGGCGGTGGTTTGCGAGGTGGTGGCGCACGCCTTTGATCCTAGTATTGTGGAGGCAGAGGCAAGTGGATCTCTGAGTTCAAGGCCAGCCTGGTCTACAGAGCAAGTTCCAAGACAGTCAAGGCTACACACACACACACACACACACACACACACACACACACACACACACACACTCAACAAACAAAAAAACCAAGTGTGAAGAACTTCTGGGCTCAAAGCACACAGATACAGAGAGTAGTCCCAAGAGTCCATGTCACCCCCAAAGTTCTTCACCCGAAATACCCTCCTCTCAGGGACAGGCTACTCCAAACAATCTTAAATACATACATTCATCACATGTATCCTCTCTGCAGTCAGTTTGGACCGGTGAGAACACCAGGAAGCACATTCTAGCTGTTCTGCCAGCCCATGTGCAAGACTGAAGTCTCTACCAACTTCTCATTTAATTACACCTAACACTGACTTTACAGCCCAGTTTATGGATTCCGTGTATTTAATACACAGTTACTTCTCAGTTCCCTGCAATTACACGCTAGTTATGGAATTCATTAATAGCACCCCTGGGCTACCAGGAGGTCTACAACACCACCAGTCAGGTCACGCTCTCCAACTGACACTGACACCTGTACTGGGACCCAGTTAAACACACACCTCTTCTTCCGATGGCTGCCTCTCCAGTCAGCCGAGATGTGGAGGTTGAAATGCAGACAGGCTGTATAGGTTTGCCTTCTCTGCTGCTCCAGAAAGGGGATATCCTCTTTTGGGGGATTACATACACATTTCCCACAAGTAGGAAAATAAATCTATTTCTGCACATATCAGTCTCAAATACTGACAACTCTGCCGGCTAATTATCGGTCCACAACCACCCCAGACCCCTCGGGTGCCTCACTCCTCTTTCCTCACACTGCCACTCAATGGCAGAATCTTTTGATATAAGGCTCCACCAGGAACCCACATCTACTGAAGCCACAGAGTGAGGGTGCGGCTGCTCTTCAGACCCAGCCCAGCCCAGCTCTCCATACTCACTGTTGCTGGACTTAAGGTCACGGTGGATGATGGGGACAATTGCCTCATCATGTAGGTAGTTCATCCCTCTGGCGATCTGCACAGCCCAGTTCACCAGGATGTCCGGGGGAATCCTCTTCCCAGACAACACTCTGTTCAAAGGCCCTCCACGGGCAAACTCCATGACCAAGCAGAGGTTGGGTTCCTTCAGGCACACCCCTCTGAGGGCAATGATGTTCGGGTGCTTCAGCATGGCAAAGAGCTTGGCCTCTTGGCGAACATTCTCTATGGTCTGGCTGATGTCCTCATCAGGGTCATGGCGAGCTGCTTTCACAGCGACCTCATCGCCTACCCAGAAAGCGCGATAAACTTTCCCAAAGCCCCCAATGCCGATGATCTCCTCCAGGGTTAGCTCCGCAAAATCAATCTCTAACACTGAGAAAGAAGAAAACAGGAAGTCAAACATTTCCTTTGAACACCATATAACTAACCACACTTCCACTGGATGGGCAAACACAGCCATGGTAGGAAAAGCAGGACCTTCCTGTCTCCACACTGTAAACTCCATACACAGCAGAGACTGTGGTTAACTTCATGTGCATTAGTCTTAGTGACTAGCAAAGAGTAGGCATTCTATAGGTGTTTAATGTAAAGTAAATCCTACTTGGAGAATCAGGAGACTCTTATACAAGACCACCCCATTTTAACCCAAAGGAATACCGGGGCAACCTTTTTTGAAAATTGCTTAGGTTCATTTGTTCTTGGTGGTGAGAGGCACACAACCCAGGGCTGAGCAGACACACAACGGCTACCATTTGGTTTGTAAATAGCTTCTGGAGAAATAGCATCAGTGGATAAAGAAGGACAGTAACTCCCACAGTAGGACGAGGGCAAGGGTGAGTGGAAAAGGGACACGTGAAAAGAGCCCTAGAGGAAGCGTAGAGGGGGACCTCATCAGACAATGAAGGGGTGGGGTAAAGGACAATCTGGGCAGAGAGAGGGACATGAGCAGTAACATGGCACATGCTACTGCAACATCAGGGTACGTGACACCTCAAAGGACATTAGGGAGCCCACAGCGGCTGGACTGTTGACTGGGATAAGAGTGTAAGACTCGAGCCTTGTTGGGGATAACCAGGTGGTAATAAGCTTCCGAGCAATTCTAAAGAACTTTAAATTACTCTAGAAGCAACATGTGCTGTTTAGAAAGGGAGTTTTGTGGTTTAGAAAGGATACCAACTGTGACAGCCATGCAGGATATAATGGGAAAGAAAGTCTGGAGCAAAGAGCCCCTAAGGGACTAGGGTGCAGCTCAGTCGAAGCAGGTGGAGTCTGGCATGCATGAAGCTCAGGGGTCAACCCATAGTACCACATAAAACAGGGTGATGGCACATGCCAATAATCCTACACTAAAGAGATAGAGACAGGAGAATCACAAGTTCAAGGACAACCAAAGCTCTGTAGCAAGTCTGAGGCTAGCTTGGTCTAAAAGGAGACCCTATCTCAAAAGGAAGAACCATTAAGGAGGCCCTTGCAGTGACCCAGGCCTGCTGAGCCTCAGAGGTACTGAGCACGGAAAGAACTGAGTCAATGTGAAAGACTTCCAGGACTTGGTTCTATTGGGATCTTAGTTCCTGAGAGGTACAGGAAAGGAGCCTCATGGGAAACATCTCACTCTGGTGGACCTCAGTGCCTCAGGTCTATCCTTGACAGTCACCTCAACCATTCAACCTGCTTCCAAGATCTAGAATCTGAACCTAAGGTATTTGATTATACCTTCAGCACCATTTGGAAAAGAACAGTAGCTACCAGTGATTATCTATTTTGGGCTAGATAGAATGTTAAGAACTAACTGAGCACAGTGCTGTTTCATGTGTCTCTCCTAAAACCCTGTTCTCTTTTGACTAATTCAGATTATCCCTCACATTTGAACTTAAACATCTATTTCATAGAGAAACTTCTTCTAACCTCAAGACCAAATGAGGGCAAGCTCCTATCAAACACCTTTGCAGAAAACTATTCCACAAGACTCACCAAGATTATCACTATTTAATTACTCATTCATTGCCTATAACCTGTGACACTATGACAGCCACAGGACAGAGATTCTGTCTGCCACCACTGTGCTCATTGTGACAAATATTTAATGGGTGACCAATAAAAGAAATTTACCTAGGTAGGGCAAACAAATTTAGATCTGTTTAGAAGGGGTGGGAAGGGGGTGGGTAGGGTTTCTGGAAGAGAGAATAACCACACACTACCAAAATAAATAAATAAAACAAACAAACCTAGGGAAACAAAGACATATTTCTAGATTTGGGCAAGAGCAAACTGGATGGCTGTTCCCTATGTGGTCGGCCCCATCACACCCCATTGCTCATTTGGATGCTGATGGGGCTCAAGTTTTTGTTCTTACTTAATCATAATTCTCTTAATCTTCTCCTCTTCTTGTATTTTGCAAAGCAACTGTCAATCTGCACAAAGAAAACTCTCAGGAACTAAGTCAAATGGACTGTCTTTATGTACACACGAAGCAGAGTCCATCTTGACCCTCCAAGTTCCACAAGGCTAACTAACCCTTTGGGGATGCAGTGCAGCTTAGTGACAACGTACATGCTTAGTATCTGCACAGTCCTGGGGTTAGTCCCTGATACCATGAAATAAAGAAAAGAGGGGAAAGTTATTGTCTTTTGGGGTATGGGGAGGTTCCCTGAAGAACAAATGACATGGCAGAACCTGCAGACCAGCAATCAGCACCCACCCCAACATCCTTCTAGCACCTCACCTTTTAGTATCAGAGGCTAGAAAGCTAAGAAACTACAAATCCCAGGATCCCTTATGGCAAAGGTACTGGACATGAACTAAGTAACACACAAGATTTGCAAAGCAAAGAGAGATGGAGACCATTTTTTGGCTGCCTCTCCTGGCAAGCATGGCTGTCTGCAGCAGCATGCCAGTGTCCGGTCACCAGCTCTGTAGCTGTGCAAATGAATGTTCCATAGAGAAGTGGCTGCCTATTCTCCAGGCTGCAGACACAAGAGGCTATCATCTTCAACAGCAGCTCCAGATGCTGAACCTCATCTGTGAGAACAGTGCCAATTTGCTTGCTGGTGCAGCTCTGCAGTGCCCAGAGCACTCCCCATCAGAGCCTCTTCTCCAAGCCCTCCCAACAAGTCTGTAAGCGCCCGATTTCCTGTGCTGAATCCATTTCTTGCTTAAAATAGCTTCAATGTTTCTGAGTCCTAAAAATGAATCCTGACTAATTACTAACTTTTGTCTGATGTCATCCACACGAATGAGAAAACATGCAGACAGTAAAGAGAGGTTAGAAACCTCTTTGAAAGATACATGTCTACCTGGTCTTTGGAGGCAAGGAATGGTCTTTTTATTTTATTTTTTCTACCAGAAAAGCTCCATGCCTCTTGAATGAACTGAATTGATCGCCCTATTTCCTCAACTAAGTCTTTGAATTAATTAACTATACTATTTCTCTTATGCGCACCCTCTGTTTCTCAGCTCTGAAGCATACTTGTCAACACACAGTGGGTGTTCAATGTTTACCTGAGGGTATAAAAGATGGGACTTTGGTCTAGGGTGCTGAAAAGGACAGCTCCTCCAGCAGCTGGGCAGACAGAGGCATGAAATGGAAGGGAAAGACAGCAGTGACCTCTCTGGGGTAGAAGCTAAGATCTCAGCCTTCCCCCACTAAGTTAAGAAACATAAGGAAGCCAGCCTGCAAGAAAAGTACAGAAAATAGCTTTCCAACAGACAAAGACAACCTGGAGCGGGAGCAAGGACTTTCTTTTTCTTTCCCTACTGAGAAGTCCCTTCCGACAGGCTTCCAGGGACTAGACCTTCAGCTGCAGAGAGCATGAGGGCTCGCCTTTCCTTCTCTGCTCCAGTCAAGACCTGGTTTTAAGCAAGAATCAGGTCAACTTGCATTCAGCACACTTTTTTAAAAATTTTCTGTGGGAGGCTATTTCTAGGAATATCAACAAAACCTTATTTCATGTTGGAGTCAAGATGTTATTTCTCCAGATTGTATGCTTGGAGACTGACTGAACCAGCCCGCCTTGTGGGCTTAGGGGCAAGGAAATGGTATACTTTGTTAATTTCAAAGTCTTCTATACAGAGCCAGGTGTATGGTACACAGCTGTTAATCCCAGCACTCAGGAAGTAGATGCAGGAGGATCATAAGTTCAAGGACAGTATGGGCTACATAGTGAGATCCTGTAAAGAGAAAGGTAAATAAGTGAGGAAAAAAAAAAAAAAAAAAAAAAAAAAAAAAAAAAAAAAAAAACCCTGTACTAGGCAGGAGACAGAGATATGGGGATTGCTAGGACTTCTAGCCTCCAGTCTAGAGGCTAGTTGAAAATGCTCCAGGTTCAGTTAGAGACCCTCTGAAGGTAATAAGGCAAAGATCTTTAGAGAACACCCAGCATCCTCCATTCATGGGTATATGTGTGCATGGGTACATGCATCTGATGCATCTACTCACACACACATACCTTAAACATATCTAAAAAAACATTCTTACATTTGTAGTGAATTCAGGAAAAACAAATATAACTTAATAGTGACCTTAATGCTGTGTTGCAAACAGACTAACACTAGTGTAGAAGAAACATTTTAATAGCTATGTATCTCCCAGAGTGACAAACTGAAGCTTTAAACTTTTGGCCTTTTACAACATAGAGGATGAGAGATCTCTCAGGCTATATTGATTTGTCATCCATGGAGAGCCAACCCCTGGTACCCACAGTAGCAGGATATAAAATGGCTTATAATATCACTAGTGTATTTTTTCTTTGATAAAAGAGTAATTTCCCCTTCTGTATTGAATAAAGCTTGAAGCAAAATTTTCACTTGAAAACAACACTGTAAAACTAAACCTGATTCTCACTGCTTGACTAGACATAGGTATCCCAATCCTGAACATGTCACATGCTATAAGTCTCAGAGGGGAAGTTTACAAGGGTAACTCTGGGGAAGAACTGTCAGTGGCTTTACTATTCCAGATCCTGGGGGGACAAGGTTTTGTCAATCATCTTTATCTTCTGAGTGACACTAACTCAACTGGTGGACAGAGCTCTCGCAGTTGACATTCCTATCTTTTCAAAGCACTGACTAAAATTTCATATTTATTTCACCAGTCTCCCTGGTGTGTTCAGAAGCATCTCCGACCATCCTTTTATCCCTTGGTTCTTAACACAGCAGCCACCACTCACCAGGTACTCAAGAATGAGCTTTGGACTGGAGCTTTGTGAACTATCGAGAATAATGCCAGTCCCAAGGAAGGCCAAGTTAGAGCACTTACCAGAACTTTCAATGCCAAGCTCCTCAAGTGAATTCTTTCCCCAAGCACAAGGTCCTCCCATCTGGGTTCCAGACTTAGGAATCCACTCCATCCAAGGTACTGTCTATTCCAATAAGGTGAGTCCTGGTCACATTACAGAGACTCATCTCCCAAGGCAGCACACTGTTGGCATGTCTGGCACTCAGCAGAAAGGTTCTTTTAACCTAAGTCATGTTCACTCCTGACTGCTCTGACAGCCAGGAGCACAAGATGCTGAGGGAACTGAGAGGCTGCTTGTGAACTTCACATAACTTGTACACTGTCACGTTAGCTGTCCCTAAAAACATCACAGAACTCCACCCACAATGAGCTTCAAAACCTTATTCAACCTAAGTTCATCGACCAAGCTCATCTCCAACACCAATCATGCCAGGACCTTTGATTGGCCTATGTCTCCACCAGCGTTGCCAAATATGCCAAAAATATGTAGCACCCAGAAACAATCTAAAGTGACTTGCCATTTCCGGGCATTATACATATCAAAATGTATAAACAAGAAACTTTGAATAAAAGGGGAACAGATCTAAGAAGAACCAGAGATCTGAACAATCTGACAATCAAAGGACCAGCAGGAAAAGAAGGAAAAAAGAAGTTGCAATTATATTTAAAACTCATCTTAAAGTAATGCAATTATTCATGTAAAAATAAGTAACAGAAAGATAACTGTTGCAGATGAAAATGTAAAACTAAGTATCAAAGTGACTTAAAGTAGGATGCAAAGTACATAAAACAAGGAACTAACTACCAAGTATGTAGTAAGGTCTTCTAACTGGAATTATGGAAACTTTTAAATACTATAAGCTACACTTAGAGAGATTCACATCTTCTAAAATAACCAAGTATATACAAATGATTAAGGAATTATAATGGCAACTTAACTCCTCTGAAAAACAGCAAAGAAAATTTCGTTAGGGGCATGGAACAGGGGGTTCTTGGGAAACTGATGAAAACCAGGACACAGGGAGAAAGGCCCTGGAAGGGAACCCTGGGCCTGCGGGCCCCCACACCCCCTGAGATTTGGCCAATGCCAAATATAGGCAAGGATTATGGGTAAAAAAAAATATGTGTTGTCTGAACGATATGGCTGTAAGGGACAAGGACTTAGCCACTGTACCTGGTGATCCTGAACTCCCACGAGGGAAAGACGTACTTTCTCTCTCTAATTATTTCTCCACTCATGATTGTGCGCCCTCCCCCCACACATACACACCTTTGCTAACATATTATTTGGTGAGACTCCTCAAGGTACAACTTTGAGATACAGGACGAGAACCCAAGAAACCAACACGAGATTTCAAAGGCACCTGACTCTTGAGTTCGTTCACACATGCTTCCGGGACTTGTGAGCCTGCCCAGGCAGGCGAGAGACACCTCCACTTCTCTCAGGACAAATACCTTTAAGAGGCGGGGACAAGCGACAGAAGAGGTCCGCCAGGTCCTTGGGTGGGGGACTAAGGTTACTACTGGTGACAGTAACCACCTGCTCTCCAGAAACCCTTCCAGATCTGGAGGGGCACAAGGAGGGAGGGGAATGGAGACTCGTGCTGGGGGCTTCAGGAGTTGCTGTTTGCGCGAGTCAGGTGAAGGTGAAGCAGCCCAGTGTTCCAGGCAGGGCCTGCGGCTCTGGAGCTTCTCGGTGGCACCAGCTACAGCCCCTGCAGCGCTCACACCCCGGCCAATCACTCCCCACCCCTGACCTCTCCTTGCCCACCCCAGGCCTCACCCTCCCCTCCCCTCCCCACCGGGCTTCGGTGCCGCCTTTTCTCCTTACGCTGAATGGGCGGGTAGCAACTGGGGTCCTCGGCGCCCGGCTGGCAGCGGCTGGAGAAGGCGCTGCGCGGGGTCACGTAGTTGCTGGGGAAGATGCCCACCCGCTGGTTCAGCTGTCCGGTCCACCAGCCCTCGTCGCCGGACACCTGCGAGTCCTTGGACAGCACCTCCACCACATCGCCTAGCCGCAGGGTCAGCTCGTCCTCGCCCGCCGCCTCGTACTCGAATACAGCCGTCCAGTAGGGCAGCGCGGCGTGGGAGCCCAGGTCGGCGGCCACCGCCTCCTCCTCGTCCTCCTCCTCCTCGGCCCCTGTGCCCGTGGCATCCTCCCCCGGCGGGGCGGCAGCGGCGCTCGCCAGGCAGCCGAGAAGCGATCTGGAGGACTCCATGGAGCGGCCGGTCCATAGGGTGCGGGGCGGCCGCCCGCAGGAGCCGCCGCCGCCTATTGTTCATGCGGCTCGGCAGCGCTGGGGGCTCCGCGCCCCCGACGGCCGCCGCAGGTAGGGCCCGGGCAGGCGGGGCGCGCGAGAGCCGCGGACGCCCGGTGCGCACCGCGAGCGCGCACCGCGGACAGGAGAGCGGCGCAGTGCCCGCCGCCTGGCGCCCTCGCGGGCGGCCTCGCCCCTCCGCGGCTCCCACCTGCTCGTGCCGCCCGTGCCCGCCGCCCGCTGGCCGCTCCCGCCCCGCCCCGCCCCGCCCCGCCCCGCGCGCCCCGCCTCCCCGCACGCCCGGGACCACCTGACGCGAGTCTGGCTCCGCCCCAGCCCTGCGGACCCGGGGGCGGGGCCTCCGGGCCAGGCCCGCCCCCGCCTCGCCAGCCCGTCCTCCCATTGGCCCGCCGCTGCTGTCCGTTTCCTGGGAGAGGCTGAGGCCTCATTGGGTGGCTCCCGAGAAGGTGAGGCAGAACGTGCGTTCGGACTGTGGGAGCCCGGCTGCGGAGCCTGCTGTCTTTGTCTGCGCGGCTCGGTCCTACCGGCTGCGCCAGTTCCAGGTTCAGGTGGCCAAGCTCTTGGATCTGCTTCGGCCCTGGGGACCAGCTTCCGTCCCCTCCCGCCTCCACGCACACACTCGCACCCCGGAACCTTATGGCCGGTGATGGGAAGAACTCCTCGGATTGCCCTGCTGGCCTCGATGAAGACTGCATACATCTCTGTGAGAAGAAGTTCCAGGCCATCGTCAGAAATCCGAAAGGGAGGTCACCAAGTGGAGCTTCCGCAGGCTGGGGGTTTGCCTTTGTGGAGCTGACTGTATCTAGGACCCTGGTGATGGCGACATAGATCACACGGAGGACCAAAGCAGAGTGAAGACTGGTGCTGCCGCTCTTGGGCAAGGGCCGACCTATACTAACTATGTCCTTTTGTTACACTACCTCCCCCCCCCCCACGCCCCCAAGATTAAGAAAGAACAAGATCAGCGGACCTTAACCCATCATACATACTTCCAAGCTTCCGTATTTCAAAACAAGCCAGTAGGGAGGAATCCGGCCTGATATCTACCAACTATATTACCTTTTCCAAGGCAGGAATAGATGCGATTTATTTAGCTAGAGTTAGTTCTTCACTGTTTGTGTTTCTGAGACAAGGTCTCACTATGTAGCCCAGGCTGGCCTCACGCTCACATTCTTGCTGCCTCAGCTGCCTGAGTACTAGGATTACTGGCATGTGCCACCATGCCCAGCCTAACTATTATTTTGTTTAATTTTAGTTTGAGGTTTATTATTAGGCAAACTGTAGCAATTTGGAAAAATAGCCAGACAGCTACGTGATCTTGGGCATTTGTTTAACACTTCACCGCCGCGTGCTCACCCCTGGAGTGAGGAGCGGAGGGAAAGGTCTCCTGTGTTCTAGGTTGGACATCAGGTGGTTTGCAGGTGACTGTGACTAGACACTGCACATTTAAGGTCTTAGGAAAGAGATGAGATGGTGCTGTTCAAAAGAGCATCCAGAAGGTCCCAAGGATGGAGTCCTGGAAGTAAATGGCCTAACATGTTCATACTATAGGGAAGGTCAGTAAACTGGAAAAGATGTGGATGAGTCCGGTTAGATTCTCTGATATTAAGATGAAACCACTCCACCTGCAAGAGAAAGGGAGATGGAAAAATATTAACGTTTTAACAGATATTTTTCTCATGTGTGTGGAAAAGGAGTTTTACAAAGTAGATGAAAGAACAAAAAGAATACACTAGAGGGGCTGGAGAGATGGCTCAGTGGTTAAGAGCACTGGCTGCTCTTCCAGATGGACCCAGGTTCAATTCCCATCACTCACATGGCAGCTCACCAACTATGTAACTCTAGCATCAGGGGAACTGTCACATTCTACTGGTCTCCATGGGCACCAGAAATGCACATGGCGCACACGTGTATGGGCAAAACGCTCGCTCACATAGAAATTTTGTTTTGTTTTTCAATACAGGGTTTCCTTGTGTAACAGCTTTGGCTGTCCTGGAACTCACTTTGTAGGCTGGCCTCAAACTCACAGAGATCTGGGAATAAAGGCATCTATCATCATGCCTGGCTTTTTTTTTTTTTTTAAAGAATATTTTTAAAAAGAAATACTAGAAAGAAAACTGTTAGCCGTGGGTCTTCACGTAGTAGGATTATTGAGACTTTTAATTGTCATTTTGTTCCTCTATTTACAAATGCCCCTTTCCAAGCACCTCTTCTCCCTAAAGCAGGTGAAAACAATCCTTGCTCCCTAAGAATAAGAAAACTAACTCCCTGCACAATTTAAATATTTAATGCTACAGCATGTGCTTAGGATCTCATCAAGAGTCACTCACCAAACATCCCAGCAAGTCACCCTGTAAATATTTGTTGAATGGATAAGTGCTAAGAATTCAAACCAGAGAAGATTCTTCATACCAGAGTTGGCTGGCAGAGCTTAATGGGAGAAGCAAAAACAGAACTGGTCCCAGAAAGGTGCAGGGTGGAGCGGGAAAGAGGGAAGGACAGAGAGAGGTGGGAAATCGTGGGACAGTGAGCCCATGCTGATGGCACGAAAGGATAAGAGAGCGCTGGAAACCTATTGAGACAGGATTGCAGAGGGCTGTGTAATTATTTGATTCACATTAGTAATTATTTAATTGATCATTTGAAATTATTTAATGACGAAGGTGTTTGCCTTAAGGACAGGAACCGGTCCGACTTGTTCCTCACAGCTTTCCTGGCATCTCAGAATACCTGGCTCATAGCTAGTCACCTTTCTGGACACGGTCACACTTGATGGCTGACTTGGCTACAAGCCTAGGAAGTCTGGGTTTTATTTAGCAGACCAAGGTTATCACAGGGCCAAGGAAATGGTTCAGTGGGTAGGAATGGTTGCTCCACAAACACGAGGACCCAGGTTCAGATCCCCTGCACCTATGTGAAAAGCTAGACTTGGCTGTGTGTGCCTGTAACCCCAGCATTGGAGAACAGACAGGCAGATGGCAGAGCTCACTGGCTGGCCAGCCTAGCTGAACCACTAGGAGGTTTTGAGCGAGTCTTTGGGGTAAAAATGACAGATTTTTTTGGCACCCTTGGGTTCCTCAGCCTGGGGTTGATGAATGTCACCCAGAAAAGGCAACATTTTCTCCACCACACTGAAAAGAATAGAACCAAACAGGGAGAAGACAAGTGTCACTCAGTGACCCAGTCAGCATTAGACAGATCAGATCGTGGGATATCCTGACTGTATCCTGAAAAACATCTCTACAGGATGTTATTATTGCTTTATTAATTATATATTAATTATACATAATGTGTTTCATTATGACACTTTCATACTTGTATATATTTTTTTAATCAACAACCCCCATTACTCTGTCTTGTTCCCCTCTCACTCCTAACCTGTCCCACCTTACATTCGCGTGTGTGTGTGTGTGTGTGTGTGTGTGTGTGTGTGTGTGTGTGTGTGTGGTCTCACCAAGCCTCATTAGAATTGTTTATGGGGTCATGGGCACCTTTGCCCTGGCTACCCCACTGAAGAAAGTGGCAAGACAAGTTTTTGAAGCTGTTTCCTCATTTGTATAGTAACAGAACATGCTTTTTATGGCTGTTATAGAGTCAAACAAGACGTGACGCCCAAAGCATGCTATTGAGCACCCAGCAGCCATATTTCTTTTTCTCGGTTTCCACCCTCAGAAGCACGTTTAGCAACACCTTAGAATGTAGTGGGTCAAAAAAAGAAAAGAAAAAAAAAAGAAGAATGGAGTGAGTCTTGACTGGGAGCTAACCTAGGGTCCTTCTCAAAAAAAAATTAAATTAATTTAAAATTAAAAATAAGGAAGGCAGGAAAAAGGAAAGAGATGAAGAGAGAGGGAGGGAGGGAAGGATGAGGGGGCTCGATAAGAGAATGAGGCCTTGAATTTGAGTTCTGATTGATGCTTACAGGCAAGTTAAACCCCTGTATCCCAGATCTCTCATGTGCAATAACATGAGACCTCTGGCCTCCCAGACTGATTAAGGGACATGGTGGATGACTTAGTACTGAGTCTAGCACCTAATTATCGTTATTTATCCTAAACTTCAACTTAGCAAGTGAATGCCACCCTCCCCTTAGTTCTTTAAGGGAACATCTAATTTTAATTTATATTGGCATATATTCATTATACGTAGTGATGGGCTTCATAGACCTCTGTATTCAGTGTAACATTTACCTTTAACCGTGTTCGTCACCCACCCTCTCTTCACTCTTCCCTCCCCTCTAGTTTCCCTTCCCCATCACCCTCCGCCTTCATGTCATATATGTGTGTGTGCTTAATTTTATATGTATATATATATACACATATACACATATATATATATATATATATATGGTATGATACAGCTATAGAAAATGTAGGTTCTACAAATGAAAACAGACAAATACAGCAGCAACATGGCTATATTTGTCTAAGCTTTCCAGCAAATGATGTAAAAATTGTAAAGGTATTTATTATTGTTAGTGTGTGTGTGTGTGTGTGTGTGTGTGTGTGTGTACATTGGAAGTCAGAGGACAACTTTGTGGAAGCTGTTCTCTCCTTCCACCTTTATGTGGGTTTCAGGAATCAAACTCAGACCATTGGGTTGGCATGACGAATGCCTTTGCCTACTGAGCCGTCTCACCAGCCCTGAAAATGACCTACTTTTGTGGACGGTTAAATTGGACTCTGTTGTGTGCATGTTTCACCCTTTGTGTATCCGTTCCCCGTCGATGGACATGTAGGCAGGTCTGTAACTGGCTACAGTGGATAAGGCTGCAGTGAACAGGATTGCAAGCTGCCTGCATCCCGTGGCAGCCCTGTTTTCAGTTCTGTGAGGAAACTCCATACTGACTTCCACAGGGTCTGAGCTAATATACATTCCTGCTAGCAGTGTGTGCTGGGAGAGCGTTTTAAACGAGTACTCTGTGCTTAAATCCCTCAAGCAGACACCCACCACTAACACAGTCAACAATGTGTCCCTCACTCCACACATGCTGTCACCTTGGGGAAGGAGCCCCTAGCTCTGAATTCAGAAACTCTGCTTGTATGGAATGTGACTCGAAGCACAGGTTTTGGGGAGAGTGTGCTGCAGGGTGATGGAACAGAAGTTTGGGGGCACACGAACCCCGGCTCAGATTCCTGGCTAAAGAGGAATGAGTCCAGTGAGGTACTTCTCCACTTATTTCACTATTCACAAAAGGCAG